TTGGCCAAAGGAGTACAAATGGTACTCTAAGCCAAGCTCCAGCATCCCAACTTGCGATCCATGCACTTACACGGGCGAAAGCGACTCGCCAAGCTGGAAGACCCCGTCCATTGTTCAGAGCGGCCCAGCTACTCTTTCGAGCTAAAGCAGCACTCTTGCTTGGAAAAGATGGGAAGCCCTTGAGGAGGAGAGCATACTCGCTTCCGGCTCCTAAAGGATAGAGCACGTAAAAGGCAGTATAACGAATCGTGGTAAGGACGTTGATTGCGATTGCTACCGGACGAGAAGTGGTAGGTTGGGGTGGGATAAGATTGAGGAGCGAAGCAATGTAATACAGAGAGCGGATCATCTCAGCAAACGACCAAGCAATGAGCATGGAGGAGTAGAAAGAGGAAGTGCGAGCCGCTGGTTGCGACTCGACGTACCACCATACAACGATGAGACGACTGGCCACTTGCATCACAGTAGTTTGGAGAGGACTCCTAACGAGGCGCAAGTATGAGTGGAGGACTTCGAGGATAGCCAAGTTTTGAATAATGATCGTATAAACACCGATTCCGCGTTCGCTATATGTAGAGTAGCTCCTCTCTCTCAACGCATGCAATTTGGCGCCGATGAAATGTGTGGACTTTTGCAAGGTGCTTTGCTTTGGAGGAGCCATAGAGGCGAAGCCACTCGCAGTCGTCTTGATATTCTTGAAAGGCGTGAAAATATTCTTCAGGTAACCGGCAAGCGTCTCACTGGCAGTGCTCGCGCTGAGAGTTGGACCGGGCGAAGGGTTGAGGACCGTCGCTGGTGGTGGAGGCGTCGAGAGGTGAGCCGTGACGAGCAGGAGAAGATAGGACCAAAGGATAAAAGTAAGAGAGTTGTAGAACAACAAGTAGTACACTTTTGGTTCCCTGTTGAGGAGAGCACGAGGGATATAGTGCCTGACAGTGTGCCAAACTTTTGCAAGGGTGGATTCCGCTTTACAGGCCAGAGGATGAGATGAAAAGGATACACGAACAGTGATTGAGATCCTTTCAGTCAGCCACGTTGGGATTTTCATTAGAAACGCGTCTGCTTACCTTTGTTCAATGCAACAGCACCAGTCGCCCCAACGCGGTCTATCACGGTGGGCTCGTCATCATAGTTTGATCCATAGTCCGGGGAAGCAGACGCGTCTGTGCGTCGTGTTGTGCGCGGCATATCGGGTTTTTTAGATAGAACTGCCTATCAAGTTCAGTTGAGCACACGGAAAAATGAGGATTGGACGAGTTATTCTCAAAAACTTACGCGTATGTGGTGGTAACTGTTGACAAATTACAAGAAAAAGATATTTTCGAGTGGTTTTACGATGTATACAGGGCCGGTAGTCGGAGACGAGGTCGAAGGTTAGACAAAGCAACGAGTGGGCGTTTCTATGACGATTGGGGATAGGTGTGCCGGAAATGCAGCAAACGTTTTGAAGAAAAGCAGAATAGCCTGTCTGTACAACTGAGAGAGTAAAAAATATATACAGTACTTGAGTTAGCCGACGCATAGTTCAAAGCCCCTCTGAGTTGAGACTCCGCCCAAGCCAACCTGGAGAAAACATCAAGGACGCGCTGTGCCGCACTCTTACTCTCCTTATTCCCCACCGTCAAAACACCCCGAGACGATGAAACGTGTTGCAGAGAGTCAGCTAACGCGTGAAAATCAAGAGGAAGACGACAGCAGTTTGGTTAGTAGGAATGTTTAACAACACTGGATGGGCAATGGCTGATAAAACGAACTTTTCCAACGGCTCGTCATACTTCAATCGAATGTTATGCCTTTTCTTTCATGGTTCTGACTGGCTAAATCATCATTTCATGAACCGCCAATTTCGTTATTGAATGGCTCCAATCGCCAACCGTGATACTCTGGACAATTGGGCTCGAGTAGGAAGTCTCTGGAGGTTTCAAGCGCGCTAGTGAGAATGAACTAGCGAAGAGGAATATACGGCCAATGCCTAAACGGAGAGGAGGTTCTGGCAGCCCAGCACCATCACCAGCTCCTACAGGAGTCAGTAGCTCGAGTACTTCAAGTATACCTCCTGTGAGTTCCTTACCTACTAATGCTTGAATTCGCTCTATTTTGTCGTGTTGACATACCTCTCTCACTAAAAAGCTTGTGCCTATCGATGGGAAGGTATGGTCCTTCTTCATAATCTCGCACTATATTTAACAATATTGTAGACTACATCCCTACCCGCGTTACCTTCACTTCCCTCAACTGGTTTTACTTTCAAACTTCCAAGCAGCTCCACTTCCTCGACGGCTCCCTTCAACTTGAGCTCAAAACCATCTCTCCCATCTTCTTTTGCTAGCTTTTCTTCATCTGCTCTTGGATCTACAAACCCTTCTTCAACCACATTTGGGGGAGCGACCACAGCGAACCCAACACCCAGCTTCTCCTTCGGAAAGCCTTTGCGTATGTCACTTCCTGTACAGTGGACATCCTTTCTGACTTCTTTACAGCAGAGCCGACCAAGCAACCAAAATTGAGCTCTAATGGAAATATGACCAGTACTGCGCAATCAATGTCTTCAATATTTTCATCCATATCCGCAGAGAATGACTCTGCAAGCTCAAAGACTGCGGATAAGTCCAAAGGGACATCTGGTGGCAGTGGAGCTGCTTGGAAGTTTGAAAGTAAAACCAGTTG